GGGCCCACCGTGCTTAAGGGGTAGGGTTAAAAAATTGCCTATTCAAAAAATGCCCCTCCGACTTCCATTTATTGGCAGTATTCCCCTCTGACGGCCGGCTTACCCTGTCATGCCCCTGGGGCCTGTGAAGTTTCCTGCAAGCCCCTGTCAGTGAGTGGTACAACCTTCCAGCATACCCCTGTGGCCGTTGGTGGCACTGGCGACCCTTCCTGGGATGAGAGCTCCGGGGGCATACTGGAAATTCGGACATTGTACCCATAAGGGCATATTGAACACATTTCAGGCCCAAATGATGCCAGGGGTTTTCCAAAACTTCAATTGTTGTCAGAGGGGCGCGACAGTGTAAGTCGGCCGTGGGAGGGGCATACTGGAAATAATGTAAGTTGGAGGGGCATTTCGAAAATTTATCTTTTTTTTTCTTTTCTTGGAGATGGCCCAGAAAGCATGAAAAGAAAAATAAAATAAAAAAGAAAGCAGCAACGGTCTCAGTTTAATATCTGATAAAAAATAAAAATAAAAAAGCATAGACGCTTCGAAGGGCAGACACAAGAGAGCGCGGAAACCCGTCCACAGTGCCCCACAGCTGGAGGAGAGATCTGAGAGAATGCTGGCTGACCACTTCCGGGGCGAATTCAGACACATCCCGATAGAAGTTTAAAACCACCAGCTACTTATGCCGACCCCATGTGTGTGTGTCTCTGTGTGTGTATGTGTATGTGTGTGTGCGCGTGTGTGTTGTGTTGTGTGTGTGTGTGTGTGCCCGCGTGTGTGTCTGTCGGCGCGCGCGCCTGTGTGTGTTGTGTGTGTGTGTGTTTGTGAATGAATTAAACGAACGAACTATCGAATGATGAACGGTGTCCTCGAAGGGTGATGCGATGGTCCCGCCTCGCCGCAGCACTCACCAAACGGCAACTCTTGGAATGTATCAGGACGGGTTACGGATCTGTACATTCAGATTGTGGCAACCCTTGGAATGTATCAGGACGGGGTACGGTTCCTGTACATTCAGACTGTCGGCGTTTGGCGAGTGCTGCGGCGAGGGCCCATGTATGTTGAGTACCAATCATCCCGCCACCGAGCTACCTTCTTCCCCCGAATACAACGTACGGGCATTATGTCTGTTTCTAGACTGAAAGATGCCTCAAATACAGCTATAATGACCGTACGTTGTATTGGGGGAAGAAGGTAGAGCCACTCACACGCACATGCGAACGGTGCTGGGTATTTTTTCTTAATAATCTTTTGTAATAAGTAGATAACTAATTAGTTTCACTTCAGGATCTGCACTGGTGATTGGTCTATTGTGTTGACAGCCATTCCGCCTCTCCTACCTAAATCATGCCATGTCCGAGATGAGGTCTCCAAGTGTGTCTGCTCTTCTCTCCTGAAAGCGCGCCACGTGGTACGGGCACATGGCACTGTGTTCCTGTGTCTTTTTTTTTTTTTTTTTCCGGCGTCCAGACATTTTTTTTTCTTCTTTATCTCTACCCTGTCAAAATACACAAAAATTCTATTAACTCGCGTCTACCCACGTGACTGAACTTTCTTTCTTTTTGTTTTTTTTTGAATTCGCGGACGCGATGACAAAGCAGAAACATATCTGTAAATTCATAAACGAATTAAACAATAAACAAAATGAAATCTACGGATGTGCATTGTGGGGGGGTGCTCTTATCACCTCTCCTAGCGGTGGGACTGGTTATTGTTAAAAAAAGAAGAAGAAGAAAAAATGTATATATCTACCGATGTCACGCGATGTGCACTTTTACCTGCGGTCATCGCGCACCCCTCGACGATGATACATGTCTGTTTGAGCACTCTCTAAGGGCACACATTGGCACATATGTCTGTTTGAGCACTCTCGAGAAAAAAAATTACTATCGCAGTCAGTCCTAGCGTGAGATTGCCTATGGCGCAACACTTGCGATTCTGCTCCTTCTTCCCACTCCTCCCCCTCCCCCCTCTCCGTTCTCCTCCCCCTCCGTTCCCCCTCCGTTCCCCCTCCCTTCCCCCTTCCCATCCCTCCTCTTCCTCCCCATTGCCCATAGCACTCCTCTGAAGGCGTACCGTCTTCCCCTGAACACAACGCACCCTCGTTTTGGCCGTACGGAACCGGAAAGCTAGCTGGTGTACATTCGTTATCAGGGTGCGTTGTGTTCGAGGGAAGATGGTAGTATTAGTGTCCACTTGCGCGCCGCATATTGGAGGGGCATGTATCGGGACCCCATTTGGAAGATGTGGCATGTGTGTGACCTCATTTACGGTCAGATTCACCCGCTGTGCTTGCTGGGAGTTACGTTTCGAACCACATATTGAGGGCGACCCTTGTGCAAGTCTCTATCAGTACAGCACGTTTCGAGAATCTGACCGTAAATGAGGCTACGTACAGCTCCGATAATCCGTCCATGGACGATGTGGTGGAGCGATGTCGATGATGATGATGATGATGATGATGCACTCAGGTTGGCGGGTAGAACAGCTGGCGATGGCGATGGTGATGGTGATGGTGATGATTCTCTTCTGCCATTGTCCATCATCGTCGTCATCGTCATCTTCATCATCACCATCACCATCACCGTCGTCCACATCACGCACTGTCATCATCCCTGTAGCATGTGTTCGTAGTGCCCAACTCAGTCACACCCCGTCACACCCCGTCACACTCCGTCACACACCGTCACCACACCGTCACACACCGTCCCACAGCATCACACACCGTCACACACCGTCACACACCGTCAC